TGAATGCAAAACATGAGTCGTTGAATTAGAAGCACCTTCTTGCAATCCAATAAATAGTGTTTGAAAATTCAAACTGTTTCAACCTACAAAAGTTGGACTTAAAACCAAATATTGTAATCTATAAGCGTCCATTTGATATTTTTTGAAGTAAATAGCCACGGTTTAGTGCCAGTTTGCTCTGTTCAGTGCATGTGTTTGCTCCTGGTCCTAAAATAGCTTCTCTTAAAGCAACCAAACATAATTCTTGAATAATGCTCTATTGGGACTTTGTTTCCCAGAACTACTGTAATTTCTATGTAGTATCTATCTATTTCTCTCTTTCTATCAAAAAGAAAAAACAATTCTTGAGCATGCTCACATAAACCGAAAGGGATATGTAAAAAAATATCACTGGATATCAAGTGAATAAATTCATACCAAATCACAAAACCTACTTAAACAACAAAGAATCGATCGTGACTTTTTTTGTAGCTTAAGTATGAGGCTGAAAGGGTCTTCTCATACTGATTAACAGAGGACGTTTAGAGTCAGTTCTGTTCCGGTGCTTCGGCAGAACCATGAAAAGTTCAATCAGTAAATATAATCTTGCACCTCTACGGGGAACCTTGCCACTTGAACTTCAAACAGGCCACCTTTTCGGTCTGCCAATCTATTAAGATTAAATAAAAAGTAAGAACTTGGTTAGAAAGGTCAAGCAGTTAGCAATTAACTTCCTCTTTCAGCCAATTCTAATGGTTGATACATTCAATCTAAGATTCTGGACAAAATTCAAATCCATGAGGATTGACCAACTAGCAAAATCAAGATTTAGATAAGATCACCAATTAGTAACTGAGAAACGAAATCTATCATGCATGCAGGTAACAGATGCATCATCATTATATAAATTTCAAAGGGTATGACAAGATATAATTTGATAGATATATCCAATTCTCATAATATAAAGTATAAATATAAAATCTACTCTTATATCAACATATTTTTAGGTTGCCACACAAAAGATCAATAACTTAGGTTGCTGCGCGACATTGACTTTTTTCGCCTCAAATAGAATCTACCAGCAATTTGTGGATTCATTTTGCCAGACGGCACACAAAAAGAACACATATTCTAAGCTTAATGCAGTCCCACTCAACCTAAGAATAGGTTAAAACCCCATTTCAGTCCCTCTACTTTGGTAAAAAGATCCTTTTTGGTCCCTCTACTTAAAAAAACTTTTTTTTGGTCCTTAAAGTTTGAAATCCAGCCCCATTTTAAATCCTTTCGTTAAGTTTTGCACATGTGTCACATTAGATGATGGAAATTTCAAAGTATAGCTCCTAAACAGTGATTTTATTAAAGTAGAGGGACCAAAAAAGGGCTTTTTTGCCAAAGTAGGACTCTTTTAAGTAGAGCGATTAAAAAGAAGCTTTTTGCCAAAGTAGAGGGATCAAATTGGAGTTTTAACCACTACCACCACCTAAGTAACACAAAGGTCACAGCATACCAAAACAAGCATACCCTTTATCTTTGACTAGATCATCAAATCTAATATCACCACTTAAACAACACATGTAAAATATCAAGCAGATTACCTGCCAGGGACAAATTTGAAATAACCTTCGGCAGAACCTGAGATTGAGGAAGCTGGTAGAAGTGTGAAGCTTTCATAAACAAATACTCCCTCACCTGGCCGCAGGAGGTACTGCCAGGATGTAAAAAGGGTGAGATCTATAGCCTCTTTTGGAAATTTAAAATTCCCATATATATATCATGTTAATAAATGAAGACTATCTAGTGATTACAAGAGAATTGGCCAGATGAGACATTTCAGGTTCTACTTTTAATAAAACTATAGGCAACCAAAAAGTTAATAAAGGATAAGAAAGATGCAGTTCTTCACTGGTGGAAATTAATTCTTCCTATACATGAAAGTTTTCGCTCAAATTTGAACAGAATAAATTACAAGAAGGAAAAATGATATGATCCAGTATGATATTACCTTTCTTCTCATGGCCTCTCCATCAACATTAGATATTATATCATCATTAGAACGGATGAGCAAGTGTCTCCAATAAAGTTGGCAGGAGTCAAAGGTCATTCCATTAATGATACAACCTTCAGGCTGGAGAGACATGCGGATTGAATAAGCAAACAAGTACTTCCTGAAATGGTCTTGAGAGTTAACAAACTCTGGAACAAGGACGGCAGAGGCATGAATCTGAATTAGGAAAAAACTAAATTAATACTCTTAGAAAAAATAATAATGAAAATGGAACTTATAGCAGATCTCGCAAAGGGTAGCAGGATACAGATATAGTGAAGCCTGTTTAACAATGAAAGGATGAAAAGGGGTGCCATCATAATAGAGCAAGAAGCTTTTCAGAACTTAAATCCTATACATATAGCTTATTAAATAACAACTGAAAATGTCATAATAAATATCAAAATTTTACAATTGCCTAGATTTACTAAAGAAAGGTATTAAAGTAACCCCACATAGCACCCTGAAATTTACCTGAACACCATTGGTTACTGCTACAGAACATAAGGGAGGAACCTCTGGAAACAGACTGATACTTTTGATATTCTTTCGTTCACAAACTTTGATAATGCCACTTTCTAAGCGACGGCCATGTTCTTCTAAGCATAGCAACATAGCATCTTGCTGCTGATCACCACTAGAATCGTGGACAGATCGAATAAGCGAATTTGGCACACACTGAATCATTTCCCCACGTGTTAAAATATTCCTTGCACTGACAGTGAGTTGGCCATTTTGGCAGCTAAGGAAAAAATGCTTAATACTAGCAGTCGAGGAAGCAGCCACAACAATGTACTTATATTTGCTTAGAAAACCCAGACGATGTGCAACCGCCTTTGTCTTGACAATCACCTCACTAAGAGACAACAAGTAGACATTAACCCAA